TATGCACACAGGAAAACGGCACCCGCGCATGCGCTCTTGCGCAATACGGACGCCTGGGCTCCACTCGCATGGAGCCGTTCCTCAGTGATCCATGTTTACTTCTGGCCCATGGTAAAATGGAACCCGCGCATGCGCACTGGGTTATTGCGGACGCCCGGACTCCAGCAAGATGGCGCCGTATCAGTGCGCATGCACGAAATACGGTATTTAGGCACGAGTAGATGGTCACGGCAGTCCTATGTTCCACCTCTGAAGAAGTGCGTGCGCACGAAACGCGTCAGGTGGAACCCAGGACGCCGTTGATACTAAGCCGTCGGTGCCACGAGGAGGCCCGGCGGCCATCTTTACTTCTTAAAGGGTCAGTGTGTTTGTTCATACTTGGCTATGTGATACTCATTATGCACCTGTGAATTCTGGAATAAAAGTTTTACCTACTACACTATGAGTGCTTCCCTATGTCTCCTGTGAGGAGCTTCTTCCATCCTTGCAGCCCTGGTGATCCCTGTGTCAGCTCCTTTGGAGGCTTATCCAGATTGATACTGCTCTGACCTGCTGGACCACTTTCTTACCACATGAGGGCGTAGGATCTCCACCTTTCCCAGCTGTTTCCCTGACCAGACCTGAGAGGAGAGGGGATCTTCAGGATATATATATATATATATATATATACACATACGTATTACCCATGCGCGTTCTGGTTAGTGTGAATTTCTACCATTTGCACTGGGAATCAAGGAGCACTGTTCTCACCGGACTGTGTTTATCCCTATATTCATCAACTTTGAAAGAATAAATCCCCTCCACACGGATGTCCTACACGTGTGGATGTTGCTTTGTTATATAAAACTATTAGTTTTGTTTTTTACATTTTAGAATGGTGTGCCTTGAGAGTGTACATACTTTTAAAGGGTGCCTTGACTGACAGAATGTTGAGAAACACCGGTCTACGGCTTTGCACACCTTTTGTTTTGATACGCCTGAAATGTATGTAATTGACATAATCCGAAAGTTCATTTGGGCTTGCAGCAGATAAATTAGTACAACTTCTGCTTTGTTACAATGCTGGTATTATAGAAGGTTAATAGTGTTGGAAGAAGGAACCATGATAAAGCAGCCCTCAACCTACATAGTTAATTATCGGAACGCACGGTCATTAGCAAATTCTGCAGTGTCCAGAATCCTTTTCGGAAACTGCTGAGAAGTATCTGTATACAACTGAAGAGTGCACAATTAATGGACAGTCCAATTAACAACTATATAGCAGGGAAAGCTCAAATAATAGAAGAATCAATTGTATCTGTTTTTTTGGTATCTAACAGCTGAACTGCTGCCAAACTACTAACCGAGCCATAACATGATGACCACCCCCACCATAACCCGTCAAGGCATGGACTCCACTAGACCTTTTGAAGGTATGTTGTGGCATCTGGCACTAAGCCGTCAGTAGCAGATCCTTTAATTCCTATAAGTTGCAAGGTGGGCTTGTTTTTCCAACACATACCACAGATGCTCGATTGTATTGAGATCTGGAGAATCTGGAGGCCAAGACAACACCACTATCTCGTCGTTGGGTTCCTCAAACCATTCTTGAATTCATCAGACTGGGCCACCTTCTTTCATTGCTCTGTGATTCAGATCTTATGCTCACGTGCCCATTGTAGGTGCTTTTGGCTGTAGACATGGGTCAGCGTGGACAACCTAACTGGTCTGCAGCTACACAGCCCCATACACAACAAACTGTGTGTTCTGACACCTTTCTATCAGAGCCGACATTAGCTAATTCAGCAGTTTGAGCTAAAAAAATCTCTTCTATATGATTGGGCTACACAGGCCAGCCTTCACTCCCCACGTTAATCAATGAGCCTTGGCTGCCCATGACTCTGTTGCTGGTTTGCCACTTTTCCTTCCTTGGACCACTTTTGGTAGGTCCTGACCACTGTAGACCAGGAACATCCCATAAGAGTTGCAATTATGGAGTTGCTCTGACCCAGTTGTCTAGCTCAGCCTGTCTCAACCAGGGTGCCTTTAGGTTTCTTCAGGGGTGCCTTGGCAAAATGTCTAAAAATTGCCCAAAACTTGTATACAAGCCAGTGGGTGGAACAAGCCTGCCTTTTAGTTACACAAAGTCACAGGTTTCCATTATGACCTTCTAGCCGCCGGTGTCCTGACAACCAATGACATCAGTTGATAAGGAGGATGTCAGCTGCCTGCACAGCATCCTCATTTGCCCCTCCCCCGCCCCCTTTCCATCAGTGCTGGGGTCACATTTAGCTCAGTGATGGAGAAAAACTAAGGGAGAGGAGAAACAGTGGAATACTAGTGGATGTTGCTGCATTATATACAACTATTAGAATAGTTTTTCACATTTTAGAATGGGGTGCCTCGGGACTCTCCATAATTTTAAAGGGAGTCTCAAGACTGTCCGTAATTTTAAAGGGTGCCTTGACTGAAAAAAGGTTGAGAAACACTGGTGTAGGAAGTTTGGAGATCCCTGTGATAGACCAACACAAAGTGGCACATAATTGTGAAGTGGAAGGAAAATGATAAATGGGTTTCAAAATTTTTTATAAATAAATATGTGAAAAGTGTGGCGTGCATTTGTATTTCGCCCCCCGGAGTCAATACTTTGTAGGACCACTTTTCTCTGCAATTACAGCTGCAAGTCTTTTTGGGGATGTCTCTCCCAGCCTTGCACATCTAGAGAGGGACATTTCTGTCAGTGGGAGTAAACAATGCATCTTTGGTATTAGGGGGAGGAATAGTGCCCCATTTCTGGTGTCAGTGGGAGGAATAGTGTCCTATTGTTGGTGTTAGTGAGAGGAATAGTGCCCCATTGATGATGTCATTAGCAGGAATTATGTCCCAATGTTGGTGTCAGTGAGAGGAATAGTGCCCTGTTGTTGGTATCAGTGGAGGAAATAGTACCCCATTGCTGATGTCATTAGCAGGAATTATATCCCATTGTTGGTGTCAGTGGGAGAAATAGTGTCTTGCATCAGTGGGAGGAAAAGTGCCTCAAGGGCCAGATAAAGGCAAGCAAAGGGCTGCAGTTTGTAGACCACAGGTCTATCACATAAAATCCCAATAAAATACATTTACATTTTTGGTTGTAACATGAAAAAATGTGGAAAATGTCAAGGGGTATGAATACTTTTTCAAGGCACTGTACACTGCAATGTGCACATTGAGCACAGGTAAATGCATTTGCAGTGCATTTTAACATGTACTTTTCTCCTCACTTCCTGGAAGATGTAAAGGTCTCCAGCACAGCATAGGAGCCGAGCCAACATTTGTGCCAGCTTGCTGTTTACTTTGAGTGTTGCACGCACTGACATGAGCTAACCAAGCGTTGCCTTGAAAAAAAAGAAAAAAAAAAAAAAAAAAAAAAAGTAGTGCTTGCTCTTTTTTTTTCTCCAGCACAAATCAACACCGTACCAGTGTGAATTGCCCCCATTCAAATACCTTAGTTTTCACAAGTTTTTATTTTTGGCATACATTGAAAAGTATGTGCCAATGCCTCTGGTTTAAACGGACCCTATGTCATCAGCTTGCTGCAGGCAGGAGGAAGCATTTCCTCAGTCCCCTCTCCATCAGTAATCAGACTGCAATATTGTAACTTCACAGAATGTCACAAGATGAGAAGCTGCACCGTAGGTGGATGTATCAGATATTTGTGAATCGGTATTTACAAGATTCTGTCATCTCTAAAAAGCAACTCAGTCCAGGAAGTAGGTGTTGGTCCTGGATCATGCCTGGACAAAGATGGCACCCTCCTTAGAAAGAGAAAGGTCAGTATTGTTTTTGAGAGTACTGTGATCTCTTTCAGGAGGTAAAAAATACTTTTTAATTGTTACCGTTAGGCTACGCTCACACTCTGTACATGTCGGGAACACGCTTTCCCAACATGCATAAATACACGCTGGCTTTTAGCAAATGGGAGTTGGGACCATTCATTTCTAATAGCACCCCCATATATCTGCCAACGCGCAAAATGCAAGGTAAGGTTTTGCAAAAAGGTCAGGGACTTCTCTTGTGCATTTTCAGTGCATAGGGCAACCCAGTGAAATGAATGGCCTGGCCAATGCTCATGCTTCGTCACACAAACTATGGTATGAACACAAGCCTTACAAATGACTTCTCATGAATGCCCTTAACATGATATCTGATGCTAGCTCCACTTTAGGGTGACCTCTGCTTTTTTTTTTTTTTTTTCGTTTCAGTTGACAGGTTTGCTAAAAAGCTTGCCCAAAGAACTTTACCTGTTCTAAATTGCAGCCAATTAGATAATCCCTTGCATTCTCCAATGTCATACAAAAAACAAGAAATGGAGACTTTGATATTCTGCCAAAAGAAAAGCCTTTGCATTCCAATGTCAGCACTTTTGCTGGTCCGCCTAAATGGCCTAGTTCTTGCCAAACAGTTGTGTGAACACCGTTACTGTTCTATCCAATGGAACCTGCCTACAACATACAGTACTGAAAATGAATGAGCACTGCAAGCAGGGCATTTGCCTAGGACAGCATTTTTTTTGGGGGGGCAGCACTGCCCCTGGAAGAAGGGACATATGCAGCATGGGGACCAGGTGGGATCCGAGAGAGGCTGCGGGGTGTTTGATGGTGTATGCAGAGCCCAACTGTTCTTGGGGATGTCCAGAGTTGTGTAGGTGAGTGTCTCTGTCGCCATGGGGTGGGGATGTTAGTGGAAGGCTCTCTCGGGTGGGGATGGGGCACGGGTGTTGTTGGTCACTGGGGGGGGTGTTTGGGGGTCTGGCGTTGGTCAGTGTCAAGCTCTCTCTCTGCCGTGAAGGGGGGGGGGGGCGTCTAGGGCAGCACAAAACCTAAATACCCCACTGACTGCAAGCTTTACTCATGCATTCTTCCTTTCTATACATCCATGGATTGGATACTGTATGTTAGTGATACAGAGCTCCTGATCAGCTGGCACTGGGACTCCTGTCCTGCCCATTTGCCTCCCTAGCTGCATGCTACAAGTAACATCACCTAAAGGTGAGAAGGAGTGGTACCCAGCGTTGCTTGTAGGTAATTAGGCGAGGTCATCCACGATCCACCATCCATTACAAGGGTTGTCCCAGTTACATAGGATGCCAAAGGGCTGGCCAGAAAGAGGGCTCCATGTGCAATCTCCGTTTTATTGCCTGGTCGTTGCAGAGGAATATTATTCCATACACCGGCTGCTTCTGCGGCTGCTCCACCTACAATAAAATGCAAGAAGTACCTTGAAGTGTCAAATATATCAATGTGTGAACCAAATGCACAAAAATGGAAACTGCTCCAAATATAAGAGTTCATGGACATGGACTAAAATAGGCAGAAACCTCCAGGTACAAGAAATGGCCACTGCCCCAGTCTATAACTGGCCTTCACAGCAAGGAGCACACGGAAGGGCGACGCATGTCAAACAGTAGGCTTTAAAAACAGGGGTTTAGTTAGCACACATTTGCAAATACATGCAGCTGCTGAGCCTCATCATGGCACCCCGATTTTGTAAATGAGTGCCAACTAAACCTCTGTTTTTAATGCATACTGTTTGCAAGCTGGTTGGTAAACTGAGCTGGGAATTTTTTTCTCTTTTATTGTTTGACATGCGTTGCCCTTTCATGTGCTCCTTGCTGTGAAGGTCAGTTATAGACTGGGGCAGTGGCCATTTCTTGTACTGTTGAATTGCTGGTGAGGGGGCCCACTGGACACCTTGGCTGCCATTGTGCTATATGCCGGGAAGGGGCGGACTGACAACTCATGGGGCTCTCGGGCAATAGGGGATCATGGAGCCCTTGTGTCCTCGCCCACACTCAAACCACACCCAAAAAAGCCTATGAAAGGTACCAGGGGCATCTCATGGGGCCCCCTACTGACCCCGGGCCCTCGGGCAGTGCTCGAATGGTCAGTCTGCCCCTGATGCTGGGTGTCCAGTGCGCTCCAGTACTTTTATGGAGGGGTGGGCTCTCTCAGGTTCACCTGCCCTCAGTCTATCCATTAAATACATGTGCCTATGGGGGCTCTCAAAATTTGTAGTTAGGAACTGCAGAATATCGTGGTGCCGTGAAGAGGCTCTGCAGCTTACGTATGTATTTGAAATTGTGTGCTAACTAAACCCATTTTTAACGCATACTGTTAGAGGGGCTAATTTGGTTTGTTTGCAGGCTGGTTGATAAGTGGAGGTGGTAATTATTCTCTTTTATCGTTTAAGAAATCTCCAGGTGTTTTATGGCTCCCCGGGAGCTGCAAGTGCTATGTACAGCCTGCAGTACAAGTGAATGGCTGCACGCAGCCTTACTCTTGGAAATGCGAATGCTTCTTTGCACTGGCATTTATCCATACGTGTGCGTCTGGCAGTTTTTCCAAAAGTTTTTGGGAAACCTGTCAGACGCATTTGTGCAGGCAGATGCCAATGCAAAAAAGCATCAGGATTGCTTATATCAGTAAATGTCACTGAATGAAATGGATTCATTTAGTATGTATTGTGGTGATTAGCTATGATTGGCCACAGCTAATCACATGGTACAGATGAGCTGTGATTGGGCCTGTTTGTACCATGTGATCACTGTGAAAAATCACTGCTAGCAACACAATTGTACACAATGAATAGCATGAATCGAAGCCATTCATGGTTTAGAATTGTACTATGATCTCCTGTGATTGGCCACAGCAATCACGTGGTACTGGCAGCAGGCTGGCACTGCGATCTGTCATCGGCTGTGTCCAGTGGAAGGCACATTTCAGGAGGATGTCATATGACGTCCACCCAGAACAAGGAAAATCACACCCGGCCGTCATTTTGCAATAGGCCAGGTGGGAAGGTATTAAAATAAAAAATGTTTTGCTTTTAGAATTACTTATAAATCAATTATTTTCATATATTATAATTTTTAATAAGATAAGGAATGCCAAGTTAAGTTAAACATGTCACAATTGTGGGAAATGAGGGTTAACATGATAAAAGTAAACTATTATTAGATGACCTGCAGCAAATTTCACAATTCCAGATAATCAGTAAATTCAAAAATACAGTATATGGCCGAACATTCGTGAACACCTGACCATCACACCAATATGAGCTTGCTGGAAATCCTATTCCAAAACCAAATGACTGAGTTCAGGTGATTCTAGTGAAGGGCAATGTTAATGCTACAGTGTACAAAAGACAATTATGTGCTCCAAATATTTTGGTAACAGTGGGAGGAAAGGCCGTTCCTGTTCCAGTACGATTGTGCCCCCCGTGTACAAAGCCAGCTCCAAAAATACAAGGCTTGATGAGTTTGGTAGGTGGCCTGCACAAAGCCCTGACCCCAACTCTACTTTTGGGATTAATTAGAACACTGATTGCGAGTCAGCTCATCCAACACCAGTACTGGACCTCACAAATGTCTTTGTTGGCTGTATGGGCACAATTTCTCATAGACACGCTCCAAAATCTTCTGGGAAGCCTTCCCAGAAGAATTGAGGTCGTTATGGCAGAAAAGTGACGGGGAAGGGGAGGGGGGGGGACTCCATATTAAAATGTATCCAAACCCAAGAACAAAAATGTAATATATTGCAGCTTACCTGTCTAAATAAGGCTGCTGCATTAGTTTTCTTTTTTTATTCTGCAATTACAAAATGCTTAATCTTGTCAGAAATCTTCTGTCGTTGACATTTTCTGTGTACTGTACTCAAACAATGTTATCAGCCTTCATAACGATTAGTATGTGAACCAGACCTCCCAACTTTGGAACTTGAGAACGAGGGACACTTGAGGGTGGAGTTAAACTGTGGTGAGCTCTGTGCGCCTAACAAAAAAAAAATGGGTGTGGCCAAACTTAAGGGGCATCGTTAAACAAAACCCAACCTTCCTTCTACCTACAAAATATACTTTGATTTCTGTACCACAAGAATCTCAGACACATAAACCTCAGGACAATCTTTAAAAAAAAAAAAAAAAAAGAAAAAAGCTTCCATTATTGGTTTTGCTTACACTGAAAATAGACAAAGCTGATACTTTGTTTGAGCAGAACTTCAAAAGAACTTCATTAAATTAGTCAGGAACTGCACAGCAACCAGGAACTGTAGAGATAATTAACACTTACTGTAGATGAGAAGTATGTAATGTACAATATAGGGTATATAGTGCAGGAGTATGCAAGGCAGAGTGCAGGGGTCAGGGGTGTGCCCTTTAAGGGTTTCAGAAGCCGGGAGGTGGGGCGGGGTTTTAAGGTCATGTGACCGCTGTGATTCGCCGTCACATGATTGGGGAAGGTCCCGATCGAAAGAGGAGATCGGGACCCTTCCGTGAGTACTGGACACGTGTGCTGGGAGTGCGCTCTCAGCACATATGTTTTTGTTAATTGCATGCAAATGTGCGGCCGCTCGGCATCAAGGCCCAGACACCGGGAGGCCGTACATTTGCGTGCGGCCGGCGTGAAGAGGTTAAAGATCAGAAGTATGTAATGCTGCAGTCAGGTTTAGGAATACATAATGCAGAGTGCAGGGGTCCAGGCTGTGTAATACACATAGTGCAGGGGTCTGGAGTATGTAATGCACAGAGTGTAGAAGTCAGTAATACGTATTGCACAGAATGCACAGGGACAGGAATAATACACAGTAGGATGAGGAGAACAAAATGAAAAAAGTGCAAAAGTGTGTGACGTTCCGTGTAATGGTCAGGAAACTGAAAAATCCCCCCTCAGGCAATGCGGTGCAGCCAAAATGACCTTTTCAGCTAAAATGCGCACTCTCTCTCCCCCATAAAAAAAAAAAATCCAGCTCCAATCTGCACACTCACCTCTTCCAGCACAAATCCTCTCCTCCCATCTAGCATAGATCTTCTCCATCCCAATCAATCTTCCAAGCACAATTTCTCCACCCAAATCCTCTTCCACCCCTCCAAATTCCCCATCTCCTTCTAGTAAAAATCCCATTACTTCCTAAATCCCCCAACACGATCCCTTCCCCCAATCTGCCCTCCACTCCTATTTCCCCTCCCAGCAAAAAAACCCTCCCCCCACTCCAAATTTCCTCTTGCATGCACCAATCCTCTCCCCCTTTCAGAACAAATACCCTCCTCACCAAATCCCCCCCCAGACAGAGAACGCAGGCATGGTCATTGGGTGTAGCATGTGGGAGCATGCATTCCATTGAGAATACCCCCACTGAATGAATCCAGCTGCCAGAACTTGTTCCAGAACTCCAGCACTGATCTGTGGGACTGACTTGAAAATTTGGGACAGTCCTACAGAATCTGGGACGGTTGGGAGGTATGTGTGAACTACAAGAAATCTACAACCTATGCAATGGAGATGAGGAGAGGTGTCTGTATTCCTACTACAATCCTAGCCTATGGTGACAATGCTGCTCCTCCATACAGTACAGTGAGGGAGCAGTCATCCTAGGATAGAATGCGTGTTATTAAATGCTGTCACCCTATCTAAGGACTGCCGTGCTGCTCCATACAGTGTATATAGGCAGCTCAGTCCCAATTTCCCAGGTTTGTGTTTTATAATAAAGCAGATCAGCACCTAAAAATATTAAGGGAACAAAATACACACTTAGAAACATTTAATGTACAGTGAAAGCACCCGTACGGTACACTTACCCAATCTGCGCATTCCCTCCGTGCCAACAATAGGGCCGGGTGCCAAGCTGTTCACTCGCACTTTACTAGGACCCCACTCCACTGCCAAGTGCTTTGTCATGGCATCTAAGGTAGAGAGACCGAGAGTCAGAAAATGCTGAACCTGCTGGGACTTTACAACAGCTGGGCCATGTATGGCCACCCTAAGCTTTGTGGTGATCCACTAGGAGGAGGATTTGGATGGCAATTTGACAGGTACCCACTCTGACTTCTGCTGTGATCACCTAAGCGATCGGAAGCAGAAGTTGCCCCCCCGTAGTCTTCTAGGACACGCGACAGGTGCCAGAACACTACGGGGCCATTCACAAAGTGCATCGCTACTTGCTCACCCGGCCGCGACAGCTTGTGGCTTCACACTGCTCACACTGAAGATGCCGGTGCCAGGGAGGGAGGACATCCGGTGAAACGGGCTGTAATGAGGACACCGCTTGACTGAGGGAAAGACGAGTATCGGTTTTTTTTTGTTTTGTTTTTTTTAAGTCAGCAGCTACAGTTTTTGTAGCTGCTGACTTATTTTTTTACATTTTGACCAGAGCTCCGCTTTAAATCTATTTTTTAGTATGTTTGGAATCATGTCTCACACTATACAAGTTTCTTAACCTCTTGCCGTCCACCTGCTGTTTTATAAACGGTAGGGAGGTGGCAGTCCAGGGGCGGGTTGCCGTTCCTAAACGGCACCCGCCTTTTCTAGCTGTGCGCGCTCCCTGGGAGTGCGCACCACCGTGATCCGGTGCCCGCTGTGTCCTCCGGACACAGTGAAACACCGATCGTCGGACGGGACCTCTGTACGAGGTCCCGATCATGTGATCACTGATTGGCCAATCAGTGATCACATGCAAAGTAGTAAGCAAGATGTCACTTGTGACATCATTGCTTACTACGTGTGAAATCTGTGAATGATCACAGAGGTCACATGGTACAAGGCTATTCACAACAGCCTTGTACCATGTGACAAGCTGTGACCAATCACAGCTCACTCAGTACTTCTCAATGACTGCAAGAATGCAGACAGAGAGAAAGAGAAATGATTGCTTTTACATCCTATATGGGTATAAAAGCAATCAGTGTAAAAAAAAAAAAAAAAAACCTGCATCATCCCCCACAAGTAGTACAGTAGTACTAATTTGGATTTTTTTTTTTTACTAAAAAAATAACGGACTAAATTTTGGCCAAGATTTATGATGAAATATTATTTATTTGCAAAATTTTATTAAAAAAAACACTTTTTTTTCAAAATTTTTAGACTTTTTCATTTACATAGTAAAAAAAATAAAAATACCAGCGGTGAATAAATACCACCAAAATAAAGCTTTATCCGTCTCAAAAAAATGGTAAAAAATTCATATGGGTACAGTATTGCATGACCGCGCAATTGTCATTCAAAGTGTGATAGCGCTGAAAGCTGAAAATTGCCCTGGACAGGAAGGGGGGGAAAGTGTCCGGACAGGAAGTGGTTAAGCAAATCTTTTTTGTGAACCTGTTGCAAAGTTTTTTGCCTATAGATCCTGCCATCAACAGCACTTCCTATTGAAGGGTGACAACACTTACCCACTGCTGCGTGCTCAGCAGTTACTGTGCAAGCTCCTTCACTTTGCTGTTGGGCAGCCTGATAGGTATGACTAGGTTTTGCTTAACCCCTTTGCCCCGGCGCCTCCCAGCCCTTTAAGAGTTTCAGAAGCCGGGAGGCAAGCGGGGTTTTAGGGTCATGTGACTGCCGTGATTCGCTGTCATGGCTGTCACATGATCGGAAAAGGTCCCAATTGCAAGGGGAGATCAGTACCTTTCATATATGCTGGGAGCACACAGGGCACGAGCTCTCAGCACATATGTATTTTCTAATGGCATGCAAATATGCGGCCCTCGGCGTCAAGGCCCAGATACCGAGAAGCTGCATATTTGTGTGCACTCGGCGTCAAGGGGTTAAGATATTGATAGGCTTTGCTTAAGAAAACTATTGAGTGAGACATGATTCCAAACACACCGGAAAACAGATTTTAGATGAATTGCTTACACACCGCCCTACAGCAGAAATACTGCTACAGGGCGGCACGGGTGCGCAAAATCACGTATACATGATTTTGCAGTTCTGGGTAGGGGATGCACGCGCCCTACCCGTGCCGCCATTCACGGCCTCGACTGTCAATCACCGGGTCCTGGTTGGTGATTCCCCACATAGCAGAGCCATACAAAGCAGTGTGCTTACAGTGTAAAGCACACATACAGCACACAGTAAAACATCACACAGTTAACCCTTTGATCGTCCCACATGTTAACCCCTTCCTGCCCAGTGCCATTAGTACAGTGTCAGTGCTTTTTATTAGCACTAATCACTGTACTGGTGTCACTGGGGATGTCAGTGACACAAAGTCAGTTTCCCCCCAGTGTCAGAATGCCTGCCGCAGTCCCGGTATAAGTTGCTGATCACCGCCATTACTAGTGAAAAAAATAAAAAATCCCAGTATATATACACCACCATTTGTAAACGCTATAACTTTCACGTTAGTCAACTAATTTACACGTATTGGGATTTTTTTTTTAGCAAAGCCATGTAGCAGAATACATTTTGGCTGAAATTTATGACGAAATTTGATTTTTTTCTTTTTTTACTGGATATTAAATAGCAAAAAGTCAAAAATATTGTTTTTTTTCCCCCAAAATTGTCTTTTTTTGTTTCTAGCGCAAAAAAAACCCCCCAAAAAAAAACAACAACAAAAAAAAACCACACAGGCGATCAAATACCACTGAAAGAAAACTCTATTTGTGGGAAAAAAGGATGTAAATTTCACTTGGTGTGTAGCGCTGCATGACCGCACAATTGTCAAAGTAACGCAGTGCCGTATCGCAACAAATGGCCTGGTCAGGAAGGGGGGAAATCCTCTGGAGGGCAAGTGGTTAACATACACCTAAAGGTTACACACACACAACCCTTACCTATGGCTGCCTTAGCACTGCCGGCATGCACCTGCAGGACCTGTCCCTTGTAACTCAATGTTGCTGTGATATTTATAATGACACCGCCATGGTCCTATAAAAGAAAAAACATAAGTAAGTGATGAATAAAATGTCAAAGTATGGACACCACTATGGACCAGTATGGACACCACTATCTCTTAGATTGTAAGCTCCCAGGATCAGGCCCTCTTATCCCTCTTGTATTGAACTGTATTGTTGCTGTATTGTCTCCCGTTATATTGTAAAGCGCTGAGCAAACTGTTGGCGCTATATAAATCCTGTATAATAATAATATATAAATGCTGTATAATAATAATAATAATAATAATATATAAATGCTGTATAATAATAATAATAAATAAATGCTGTATAATAATAATAATATATAAATCCTGTATAATAATAATATATAAATGCTGTATATAATAATAATAATATATAAATGCTGTATAATAATAATAATATATAATATCCTGTATAATAATAATATATATAAATGCTGTATAATAATAATATATAAATGCTGTATAATAATAATATATAAATCCTGTATAATAATAATATATAAATCCTGTATAATAATAATATATAAATGCTGTATAATAATAATATATATATCCTGTATAATAATAATAATATATAAATGCTGTACAATAATAATAATATATAAATCCTGTATAATAATAATAATAATAATAATATATAAATCCTGTATAATAATAATAATAATAATAATAATATATAAATCCTGTATAATAATAATATATAAATCCTGTATAATAATAATAATAATAATAATATATAAATCCTGTATAATAATAATAATAATAATAATATATAAATCCTGTATAATAATAATATATAAATCCTGTATAATAATAATATATAAATCCTGTATAATAATAATAATAATAATAATTTATCACAAGCCAGAGAGGAGAACGGCATATTACAGTGACCTCTAGTGGCCATATAATAGGTGTACAACTGTGAAGGCAGTCACTGCATAGGAAGATAATGTAAGTGCGTAAATGTATGGCTCCAGTGCGAAAATTGGTCACCTCCTCAACTTTTTATTCAAAAAAATAAAACAATATATCTTCTTCTCATGGTTATCCTCTAGCATACTTTAATGGTCTTATGGGGGGATCCCACAGCATCATCCCTCACCTTTTCTCTGTACTCTCTTCCCACTACAGCGTCTCTCGCCTTTATTTCCCAACCACCCTCCTTTTTAATAGGCGTTCCTGTGAGAGATTTAATTGCACACATAGTACCTTTCATTATATTTTACCTGGTGCTACGCTAGACAACGATCTCTCTATGGAGTGCCTGCCCCCTTCAACCATCCCCACCTCTCAAATGTACAAACAGAACTTCCAGATAGTGATTTATGCAAACACACTACATTTCTGACCACATAGAGTGCAAGGAAACCATACTGAACTTCATTTCAAACATTTGGAGGGTCTTCAACCCTTCTAAGCAAAGAGCCAGTCCTTGCTGTCCTTCAGACTTTAGGGGGGCAGAACTGTGGCCAGTGGAAGTAGAAAATGTCCTGGTGTCCAGTGGGAGTAAACCAAGCCCTATTTTTAGTGTTATTGGGAGGCATAGTGCCCGATCATTGGTATCACTGGGAGGAATAGTGCCCGATCATTGGTATCACTGGGAGGAATAGTGCCCCATCATTGGTATCACTGGGGGAGGAATAGTGCCCCATCATTGGTATCACTGGGAGGAATAGTGCCCCATCATTGGTGTCAGTGGGAGGAATAGTGCCCCGTCATTGGTATCACTGGGAGGAATAGTGCCCCATCATTGGTATCACTGGGAGGAATAGTGCCCCGTCATTGGTATCAGTGGGAAGAATAGTGCCCGATCATTGGTATCACTGGGAGGAATAGTGCCCCATCATTGGTATCACTGGGAGGAATAGTGCCCCATCATTGGTGTCAGTGGGAGGAATAGTGCCCCGTCATTGGTGTCAGTGGGAGGAATAGTGCCTCCCTCACTGGTGTCAGTGGGAGGAATAGTGCCCCATCATTGGTATCAGTGGGAGGAAAAGTGCCCCATCATTGGTATTGGTGGGAGGAATAGTGCCCCATCATTGGTATGAGTGGGAGGAATAGTGCCCCATCATTGGTATGAGTGGGAGGAATAGTGCCCCATCATTGGTATCACTGGGAGGAATAGTGCCCCATCATTTGGTGTCAGTGGGAGGAATAGTGCCCCATCATTGGTGTCAGTGGGAGGAATAGTGCCTCCCTCACTGGTGTCAGTGCGAGGAAAAGTGCCCCCTTCATTGAAGTCAGTGGGAGGAATAGTGCCCCATCACTGGTGTCAGTGCAAGGAAAATGCCCCCTTCATTGATGTCAGTGCAAGGAATAGCACCCCCTTCATTGATGTCAGTGGCAGTAATAGTACCCCAATTGTTGGTGTCATGGGTAGAAAAAGTGCCCTATTGGTGTTAATGAAAGAAATTGTGCCCCATCATTTGTGCCAGGGGGGAGGAAATGTGCCCCACTGTTGGGGTCAGTGGATGGAATAGGGCCCCAAGGGCTAGCAAAATGCAGCATACTGCCCCAGAGTTGCAGTTTGGAGATTTATGGTATATGCTATTAAACTGTTTCTTACAATGTCTTATTGTGATATCTGTGTATCATGCTATTTTTCTACTTCTTATTTAAAAAAATAGATACATTTATGAAAAAAAAGTTATAATTTCATTATCTGCAATTTTTGCTAATATAATTTCAGACTTGCAATTCCTATGCTGGGATTTCAGGAATAAAGGAGAAATTTCACCATTTTATTCTGAGCACAGCTTGCAATAATTCCAGCTATAACAGTTTGGAACGAACCCTTACATAATCCTAGCTGAATCTCATCGGGACTCCATTCATAGCTACTGAAACATGTTGGCTTCATCTGATACCTTTGTTCAATAAACAATTTGATTTGAACTTTTTGTACCATGAACTTTTGTACTGGGCGCTCCTCATAGCCCAGACCTCAGTATATTCTGTGATAAGACTGCCTACCCATGGATCCCATCCAACTGGACACAACTAGAGCAATTTAGACACTTAAGCCTGGTACACACAAGAAGTTTTTTTTTTTCTTCCACCCAACAGATTGAAAGAAATAAACAAAAAAACAGATTGCGTACGAACACAAGCAATGTCAGTACAGTGATCTCCCCTGAGGTGCCTTTGTGATCTGAGAGGGGAACTGCCCACCGCCAGAACACACTGATCAGCGCTTGCAGCCGTTGGCCTCGAGTGCTGATTGGATGCCGTTTCTCCAGCATGCCCATTTGACAGAAGCTAGTCATGAGACCAGCAGCTGTACACACAGTTTCTGTTGAATTGGCGGATTTAGGATGATATTCCACCCCTGTGCACCCAACTTTAGGTTAGCCAAACATTATTATTTTTCTTTCCTTCAGTCACGGGTAGAAGGAAATAAAATTGCTCGATTCCCCCATCAACACAGTCAGTGTCAATGGGGGAATCCCTTCCGCAACACCATCATGTTCTGCTGGCAAGGAGTGTGGGTGCCTTCTGAACTGGCAGAATACAATGATCACTGTTGGTGGCTGTAGCTGCAATCAGTGATCGCACCCAAAACCCCCCCACCCCAAAAATTTGACAAGTGGGTTATGCTGAAATCGATCGACAGATCAACTTTAATACAACCAGCCTATCCATAGATGCATTGAAATGTTTCTGATCCTGCTGAATCGGCCAAATTTCGGCCAGTTTACTCCAAAAGACTCACAACTGAAATTGCAGCAAAAACTTGGTTCTACCAAATATTGAACATTGGATACTTGTGCAGTCAACAAACTGTTTAGTGTCAGCTGAAAAAAAATAGTTTGCACCTTTAAGGTGTTAAAGGGAATTAAAGGATAAGTTCACCTTTTTGACAAAAATAATAAATGCACATTTTTTTGCAGGTAAAAAAAAATGTGCATTTATTATTTTTTGTCTGCAGGAGCCTGGAAAGCATTGCACCAGCAGTATATCACTGATGCCATGCAGGTCTCCTGTAGACCTGTCAGAATATCTGCTTGCTGTACCGGATGTATGAGCAAGCAGATATTCTGACAGGAAGCTTCAATGAACTAACACAGCGTCGTGGTAGTTTATTGAAAACTACAAGCTGATAGCCGCTGTGACTTGTAGGCACTCATTCACAGAACTCTGTGAATGAGTAACGCAGTCGTGGGAGCAGAGCCCCGCACGGCCACGCTGTTTTCAAATCCGACAGGCAATACGGGGGAAACCGTCCCACAGGGAGGGCGGGGGAAACCGTCCCACAGGGAGGGCGGGGGAAACCGTCCCACAGGGAGGGCGGGGGAAACCGTCCCACAGGGAGGGGGGGGGGGGAAACCGTCCCACAGGGAGGGCGGGGGAAACCGCCCCACAGGCAGGACGGGGGAAACCGCCCCACAGGCAGGACGGGGGAAACCGCCCCACAGGCAGGACGGGGGAAACCGTCCCACCCACAGGCCAGGGACGGGGGAAACCGCCCCACAGCCAGGACGGGGGAAACCGTCCCACAGCCAGGACGGGGGAAACCGTCCCACAGCCAGGACGGGGAAACCGTCCCACAGCCAGGACGGGGAAACCGTCCCACAGCCAGGACGGGGAAACCGTCCCACAGCCAGGACGGGGGGAAACCGTCCCACAGCCAGGACGGGGAAACCGTCCCACAGCCAGTACGGGGAAACCGTCCCACAGCCAGTACGGGGAAACCGTCCCACAGCCAGTACGGGGAAACCGTCCCACAGGGAGGACGGGGAAACACGTTCTCATAGCTGACTGCATCGATGGGAACGTGTTACATGTTCCACCCTAAAAATGGGTGGAACATGTAACATGTTCCCAAAGGCGAACTTGGTCTTTAAAAAACACTGACAGGAAGGGTTTTATGACAGAAGAGACCCCTGGACCCCAGTGTCCTCTTCTCCTTGACTGTCAGCATTTATGTACATTGAGCCGTGCATGAGCAGCTCAGAGTACATTTATGGCACTACTCTGTGTCTTGATGAAGTGACTCCCGTGCAAACGCGTGAGAGTGATGTCACAGCGGCGTAGCCATTCAAGCAGCCAAAGCGCCCGGGACCAGTTGGTGAGTTGACAGCGCAGCGTTGGAGGGCATCGTCTGTCAGGTACACCTGCCCTAATGTACTAATTTGCAGTGCATACTAACACAGAATGGCATAGACGTCCTGGGGCCTATTTCAGGAAAAAATGCATAGCAGTGTTTAATTCTGCTTTATGTAGTGACCAAGGGTAGTGAATGCGTATACAAAGTAATTAAAAGAGCACCACAAATACGCTTGTAGCTTGGCTTTAGCCATGGTCCTATACTGTATGCTGCACTTACTCTGAAGTAGCGCTCAAACACAATCTTGCTGGTGTTGAAAGTGCCCATTGTGTCAATATCAAAGACGGTCTTAAAAGCGTTGAAGGACAAGTTGCTGGCCGGGCAGAGGAAATTCCCAGCCGCATCTGTGACACAAAGACAAGAGTGAGCATGACCACACCAAAAATCACAGAAAGCAAAGAAACTTCTATTCAGTTCAGGAGCTTAGGCTAAAAGCTCATCCCTCCTAGGCTCTGATCATTATCTATATATCCTGACCCTTTACAATAGCCATTACTCCTCAAGTGTGTCCAGGAAAATATTTGTTTTTCCATCTAATGGTTGTATTTCCTTGCTACTGCCTGTACTTTTGTGTATATATGTGTGGGTTTCACATATTAGCCAAATGTTGTGGCGTCTTTATTGTTGTTAACTGCATTCTCATACCAAAAAAGAAACAATATTAAAAAAATATGTGGGTTTTAGACCCATTTCAGGGACCTAAGAGCCAAAAAAAAGGTATTCTAAATAGCTTAAAGTGGAGCTCCACCCAAAAGGGTAAGTTCCACTTTAAGGACTGCGCCCCATTAAGGATTGGCAGCTTTAATGGGCGGGGGGGGGAGCGGGTACCCGACTTTGACAGGTACCCGCTCCCACTTCCGGTCCGATCGCCTAGGCAATGGGAAGCGGAAGGTGTCCTCCCTCCCTCCCTGTAGTCTTTTGGGACACGTGACAGGTCCCAGAAGACTACAGGACCATTCATGAAACGCAGCGCTACTTGCGCATGCGCAGTGGGTACCCGGCTGTGAAGCCGCAAGCTATCACAGCCGGGTGCCCACAATGAAGATGCCGGCCTCCTGGAATACAGGACGGCCGGTGAAACGGGCTGCGGGACACACACCACGGGAACGAGGGACAGGTAAGTGGCTGTTTTTTTAAAAGTCAGCAGCTACAGTTTTTGTAGCTGCTGACTTTTATTTTTTGACAGCAGGAGCGGAACTCCACTTTAAAGTGTAAGTTCACAGCTGTAAGCTGGCACAGGGATCGGTCGGGTAAGGAACATGCATACTGATCAGCAATAAAGTGTATGTTCACCTTCAGCAACAGTTTTGTAAAAGCCCCCTATGCAGTTCCATGCATGAGCAGCCTGGAGCAGACATTAGGGGACACGCAGTTGTGAGAAGGATGGAGGGGCCTGTGGTTTTAATGGCACTGATATGTACTATTCAGGGGTTATGGATTTGAATAAGGGGATTTTCTGAAACTATTGCTGAAGGTGAACTTACATTTGAAATCTCAAGTCTAAGTAGGAATTTTACTGCATAGTTACAAAGGTCCATAACTGACTCGAGTTACATAGGTCCAGCTTGACCAATGTAAGTATGTATATCTCATACCTGACTGATCCATGTGCAAATCACTGTAGAATTTTCTGCTACTACAGTGAAAGCAGCAGTCTTCTGGGTCCAGTGCCGAGCTGCTGCAATTCTACATTGTAACCGCAGGGGGACAACAGCTCAGCATTGCCACCATTCAGAGAAAGCCTTATATTTTTTTTTTTTTTTATGATGAATGCAAGGCGTTCTCTGATTGGAGGTGGAGAATGTGATGTCACTGCCTTGCTTAGCCACACTTTCAAACCACAGAAAGCCTTGTATTCATTGACAAAATACAAGACATTCTCTAAATGTGGGGCGGCACAGTGGCTTAGTGGTTAGCACGTCTGCCTTGCAGTAAATTAGTCATGGGTTCGATTCCCGACCGTGGCGCCTCCTGCATGGAGTTTGCATGTTCTCCCTGTGCTTGCGTGGGTTTCTTCCGGGTACTCCGGTTTCCTCCCACACTCCAAAAGACATGCTGGTAGGTTAATTGGATCCTGTCTAAATTGTCCCTAGTATGTGTATGTATGAATGTGAGTTAGGGACCTTAGATTGTACGCCCCTTGAGGGTTAGGGACTGATGTGAATGTACAATATATATGTAAAGTGCTGTGTAAATTAACGGCGCTATATAAGTACCTGAAATAAATAAATAAATGGCAGTAGTGTCAAATCTAAAGCAAAAACTGTTTAGATACAACAGCGGAGGGTTATACACGCTGTTTTCTTAGATATGTCTTAGTTGGGTAATTACTTCCTGTAGACTCAACAGGAAGGGAGAGGATATTTTTCCAGCATGAAGAATATTCTGTTGTCACGAGACAAAATGTTCCCATTGGAAGATTTCCTCTCTGCTCCTGTTCTGGTGGCAACTAGAGTTTTTTTGATTTACTCTCACATTCGTGGTCACATTGGTGATTGGAAAAATGAGAGAGAGAGCAAATCTCCCTAACAGTTACATAGGCAGCATTAAAAGGTATGACAGGGGTTCTAACCCCTCAGCATTCTATCAAGCCTAAAAGAAAAAAAAATGTCTTTAGGTCAGGCATGGTCTTGAACTTGGGCACTCCATATACTTTATTTTGTGTAGCACACATGCACTTTACTCACTTCTGATTAGTAGCGTGTAGGTCCTTGTGCCATATGGTCAGATTCTCCCCATCCCATGGGATCTCCCTTCAGGGAGGCCTCACCTAGTGCTTGGGTGGACCTTGCCTCAGAAGGTCCCCTGAAGAATGGGGTCTGCCTTGTAACATCTGAGTGGACCATGGAAATCTCAGTCCCCATCGAGAACCTGGTGTCCCAAGAGATCAGGGCCAGGCTCCTTTCTCTTTGGAGGTAGACCATGTGTATGCCCTGTGAACTTTTTTGTGTGCTTCACTTTTTTTATTGCACCTGGGGTATAGTTTGGAGGGTGCCCAGTGCACCGCAGAACAGAAAAAAAATAAAAAATAAAAGTAGCCAATGAAGGGGATCACCTAACCTCTAACTTTTTATTATGCAATAAAAAAAAAAAAAAATAATAATAATACAGACTGATTTTACCAAAGAGCACGGAAAATACCACCTGGGAATACTCAACTGCCCGGAATACTCACTGTTTACAAGGATATCTATTCTGGAGAAAGTTCTCAAGGCTTCATCCACAGCGTCCACCAGGCTCTGAGGCTGACGGACATCACCAGCCACAGCAAGACAGCGCCGGCCTGTTGCTGCTTGTAATTTCTCAGCTGCCTAAAATAAAAAAAAAAGATGCATTCAAAGGGGCAAAATGTAAAACCAATGTGTTCAAACAGTTCATTCTGTTAAATCACAAACTCCAGCCATAGGCACACAGCTCATCACATGTGGACTGGGCAGCTATTTCCTGAATGCAACCTGCACTGTGTAAAGGTGACCATACAATATACAATCTGATTGAACAATCTCCTTCAGATCTACTATCAACTATGTAGTGCAATGGCCTGCCTGATTTGCTATAAAGTGAATGGATAGTTTATGTTTGCCGTTCTAGTACCAAAGTTTTGGTAAATGTAAAGGAGATTGTACAATCAGATTGTATAGTGTTTGACAAGCTTCTCACAGCTTGACGTATGACCAATGAGATCAGAATCCAAATTTTCTTGGGGCAGTGATAACTTTCTTAGTGATCGCTCTTTGATGCAAGAGGATTCTCTTAGCCTAGGTTCTTATCTGTGCGGGTGGTGCCGCTGCGGATCATGCGCACAAAAATCCATGCAGCCGCACCACCCGCACAGAGAAATGTGGAGAAATTAGTTCTAATGGCACGCCGCCCGCACTGGAAAACGCAACTGTACTGCGAATCGAGGTTCCCATGCGGGCTGCGTTTTCGGAAGAAGTGCAGGGACTTCTTTCTCTGCGTGTGACGGGGCATGGGAGTCCATTCAAATGAACGGGCTCTCGTGCCCATGCAAAACGCAGCCCGCACGGCCGCATAGATGTGAACCGGGGCTTATAGAGCATCAAGGAGATTGAAGTGAAGAAGTGAGTGTACATCTCCTGCCTTAAAAAGAGTTCAGCCTAAAGCAGTTACGAGGTGACTGACACTCGGCAATAGAGTGGAGTGTACAATGCAACAATGTCTGGATGGAAAAACAAGTTTAAACTCAGCTTAAACCCTATTCACCAAATGTGATTACTTGCCACTCAGTGGAGTTCCCTGTGATTACCTGTGGGCAGAAGCCCCATAGAAAGCAATGGGAGCCTAACAGGACCTGCAGCTATTCACCTCTATTTGCATGTAATCACTTATGCAGTGACTACCTGCGGATGGACTGGCCCTGGGACAGACAGTGATCACTGCTGTCTTCCAGGTCCTGATCGGCTGCCATGCTACATAATAACAGAAGATTGCTTGCTTTGCATGTGCGCCTGTTACAGAACACCTTGCATTTTTCTCAGTAAATGCAAACCATTCTCCTATCTGATTATGTGGCGATACGGGGAAGTGACATTTTGATCTCCACTTCATCCAATCAGAGAACGTTCTGCAATCATTGAGAGAAACACAAAGTGTTTCTGTGAATGGTGCCCAAAGGAATACCATAGGTATGGCACATGCATACTTACATTGATCAGATTCAGATTGGACCAATTGGTTCAGATCGGACATTTGTCCAATCTGAACCAATGTAACTATGCAAAACAGTCTATACCTGGAGCTCAGCATTAAAGGATAAGTTCACCTTTTGGAAAAAAATAATAAATGCACATTTTGCAGGTAAATAAAATATGTGCATTTATTATTTTTGTCTGCAGGAGCCTGTAAAGCATTGCACCCGTGATCAGTAGTTTGCTGATGCCATGCAGGACTCCTGCAGACCTGTCAGAATATCTGCTTGCCATACAGGGTGTATGGTCAAGCAGATATTCTGACAGGAAGCTTCAATGAACTACCACAGTGCTCCAAAGCACCGTGGTAGTTATTATTATTATTATACAGTATTTATAAAGCGCCAATAGTTCGCTCAGCGCTGTACATTACAAAGGGGGACAGAACATGTGACAGAACAATACCAATACAATGCAAAACATGAGGGGATCGAGGGCCCTGCTCTTTGAGCTTACAATCTAGGAGTTCATTGAAAACTACAAGCCCACAGTCACTAAGGTTGCAGTTCATTCATTCATGGAAGTCTGTGAATGAAGGATGTGGCCGTGTGGGCGGAGCTCCGCACGGCCACGCTGTTTTCAAATCTGACAGATAGTACAGAAAAGTTTCCCTGTACTATCTGTCAGAGGGAGGGGAGGGGGAAGGGGGGCGATGGACATGGCTGTGGCTATGGGAATATGTTACATGTTCCACCCTAAAAACCGGTGGAACATGTGACATGTTCCAAAGGTGAACTTATCCTTTAACTTTCTTGTTATCACATGTGGGCTGATCAATCACCAATGTGATAGCATAGTGCTGGTGACAGGTCCTCTTTAAGGAGACATCAGGGATCTATTAAATTTCCAAATGTCACCTCTAGACCCAACTGAAGCTGATTATGTACAAATCATGCTTGATCAGCTTTATCCCAGGCCAGTGCTGCCGGATGAGAACAGCTCTTAACATAGAAGTGATTAATTTCTCCTCACTTCCAGGTTCATTCACCAGAGGGGAGATTAGCAAGTGGAGGTTTGCTGATCTCCCTCTGTTCTACCTACCAACACCCGCCATGTCCACTTGTGGGACAACGAAGCCTAAAATACATGATGGGGATGTCAGCCAGAGAAATGCAGTACTTTCAGGTGTGTGAAAGTGATCAGGCAGCTTTACAGCCTCCCAAATCACTTCCAATAGAAAGCTAACAGTTGATAAAACACACTGTAGAAGCCAGGACTGTGTGAAAAGCCTATGCTGCTGCTGAAGTAACCCTCATGTCGGTGGCAGCAAAGGGGTTAATGCTATTCACTTTCAGTTAAACAATGACAACACATGCTGCCGTTCCTTTACGTTCAAACAGGTTGTTATTATATGTATTGTTTATATACAACTATTACATTCCAGCCACTTTACCAACCTGTATTCTGCTCTGACTATGTTGGAAAAATCCACGCCTGACTTGCAGTAAGACATTTAAAGTGAATGGCAAAACGGCCATCTGTGTCCCATTGGCGAGATTTCCCTTCACTTCCAGTCTCATAGCCACAACAGGAAGTGAGAGACAATCCCTCCAAAGTGAGAGAAAAACCATGGTTGTCATTAGAACTAGTGTCCCCATTGGAAGATTCCCCCTCTATTCCTGTTCTGGTGACAACCCTAGATTTGGGATTTTCTTTCATATTCACTCTCAGTGATAATGGTAAACAGGACAAATAGAGAGGCAAATCTCCCTAATGGGGGCACAGACAGCAATAAAAACCTGACAGGCATTCTAATCCATCTTCACTCTATCCAAAACAAGTTTTATTTTTTTTTTACCTTTAACCCCCTTCTCACCCAGCCCCAGCAACCATTTAATATGGACTGTAGATCCAAGAGAAGGGAGGGATTCTGCAATCAAGTGACCACTGTGATTGGCTGTCACAGTAGTCATATGATCAGATGCTGCTGATAGTCAGTGGGGACTGAAAGTTGTCTTTGACAGCTCAGTCCCAGTGCTGGTAGTGCTCTCTCAGCATAGAAACACCAGGCCACCCAGTGACGCACATGTGTGGATGTTAAATCCCACTTGCACATATGCATTATGTGGACCGGCAACAGGCTAATGGCTGCAATTCATGTTCTGTACGCCACTTTGCTCGGAACTTGCTGATTTTCATGTTTTTGTAAACCAAACTATTGAAAAATTGAAGAGCATAGATCTTTTCTTGATGAAAAAAAGAAATCCATGCCTTCTTTCTATACTTTCCTCCAGTTTAACTTCTCTTCCCTTCATATATATATATATATCGCGGCAGCACAGTGGCTAAATGGTTAGCATGTCTGCCTGGCAGTACTAGGGTCGTTGGTTCGAACCCCAACCACGGCACCACCTGCCTGGAGTTTGCATGTTCTCCTTGTGCCTGCGTGGGTTTCCTCCGGGTACCTTGGTTTCCTCCCACACTCCAAAGACAAGCTGGTAGGTTAATTGTCTCCTGTCTAAATTGTCCCTAGTATGTGTATGTATGAATGTGAGTTAGGGACCTTAGATTGTACGCTCCTTGAGGGTTAGGGACTGATGTGAATGTACAATATATATGTAAAGAGCTGTGTAAATTGATGGCGCTATATAACTACCTGAAATATATAAATATGAACCTTGGTTGAGACGAGCATACATGTTTATGTAACTGGCTGCTCATAGGTATGATTTTTGGGTGGCAGATTGTTCCCGGGAGTCTGTAGGTAGATTTAGACGTAAGCGTACATCCGTGTGAAGGCCATGTTTGTCAGCACAGGAATGCACGGGTGTTCTGTGCAGACAATCCCATTCATGTCACTTGGGATGCACTGGACACAGGGGCATTGGCGCTACTCCCAATCTGACATCCATGCAGGTGTGGATCCCCATACACAAACAGTGTGCATTTGGGGATCTGCATGCATGCACATGGATGTCAAATTGGGAAAGCAGCCGTCTCTGTGCAGCCACTGTGTCCTAACTGATACGAATGGGACTGTCTGCATGAAGATGCATGGAATCCCCATGTGGGCAAACACATCCCTTGCATGGGCATACTCTTAAGTATGACCATGTAAAATAGATTTCTGCTAGATCAGTAAGGGGATCATTTCTGATTGGTTACCTATAAGATTTATTATATGCAACCGTACAAAATAGAGCTCCTGTTACCTCTTTCAGCTTTGGCAGGTTTCTGCTAACAATCACGATGTCGCAGCCATGCCTGGGGATCAAGGAACAGGACAATCAATGTTACAAAGACAGCAAGCATTGGAGGCAGAAAGGGGGGGGGGGTGACAGACAGAGAAGGGAAGGATTGCTGAAGACAGAAGAACAAGGAGAGAATAAAATCACAATGAGTGAGAACTCTACCTCATGAATATTTCAGCAATTCGGAAACCGATCCCTGAACCCCCTCCTGTGATAAAGGCCACTCTGCCCCTAGATTGAAGAGAAGAACCAAGTTACTACTCAGGTGACAATGCTGCATTCATCCACAGAAGTATTTCCTGACAGATTTTCTCACACTTGTCCAGTTCTGTGAGACGGAAACTACCTTTCATCAGATGGAAATAATTAAAGCTGAACCCACCCAGGGATTAGCAAATACTGTCTAAATACAAAGGGGGGGGGGGTGCATTCTTCCTTGAATCCTGGAGTGCCTTGTGAGTTTCATGCAGATCTGTTTAGCAATCCAGTGTGAACCGTTTCCTGTAATAAAGACTGGTCACTGCTGCTGTATGTAGCCTGTGCAGAGAGCAGAGCTGTGGGAAGGAACCAGAAGGCACCTCCCAATACAGACTACCCGAAGAAAACTACAGGAGGGGGCGGAGACAAGACCAGTCACCCTGCACAAGGAGAGAAAGCAGCACTGACTGGTCGTTATTACAAGAAATGCCACAGAGGTAAATTTTCACGAGGAAATAATCAAAGAACACCAGGGATCCAATGAGGAATACACATGAGGAATGTATTTAGAGAAAATTTGCCACAGAGGTAAACTTTCTGGAAGAAATACACAAAGAACACCAGGATCCAATGAGGAATACACATGAGGAATGTATTTAGAGAAAATTTGCCTACGCCACTATGGCCTGGTATACATGAGCCCTAGCTTTGTTCACACGGGTGAACATGTGAGGGCTGTGTTTACCCCTTGGTGATGCACTGGTGTTGCATGCATTCCTGTGCAGGCAGCCCCACTGATATCTAATAAATAATATAGTGCAGCGCTGTAATACCGATATACAAATAGAGAGAAATAAGTAAATAAAAGTTCATAGAGTTCCTTATACAGTGTAAAGTGGTTGCAAGCGAGAGTGCTGTGAAGACCTCCTCAGCATTAGATAAGTGACTGGAACCATATAGATAAAATGCGCACTCACAGACCGCGCATTAAAAATGCGCATGTATGCAATTATTTATCCAGATAATCGGCCAGGCATATGGATCAGCCAAACGTATAGGTTATGAGCGCTCGCTTTACCCATCCCATAGCCCCACTGATATCAATTGGGACACAACAGTCACATGGACACAGCCCCTGCTCCCAATTTGATATGTGTGGGTGTCCCCAAACAGACAATGTGAGTTCCTTCAACCAGAGGATGTCAAATTGGGATCAGTGGTTGTGTCCGTACATGTTGACATCAATAGACTGACTGCCTGCTCAGGGATGTATGGAGCACCTGTGCGGGTAAACACACCCTTGCGTGGACATAAGCTATAGTACGCCCCATATGAACGAGGCCTAAAACGTCAGCTGACCCAAAACACTTATTTCAGTATTTTGTTGATGCTGAAAATGCAGGACTTCTTTCAGCTGCATCCCAGAGAGAGCTGTAGTAACCCAGGCCTGTTTTAAGAGACATCTTGCATGGCAGTACAGCAGAAAAGTGCAGCTAGCATGTGATCATCAGGAATAAAGCATTCTTACTGGAGGAGAACTGGGTTGTAGAGATGGGTGTAGGTGGGCAGGCAGTCATCGTTCTCCACATCTTCTGGAGCTTTGTCTAAACTTGGAAGATCGGCCATTGCACTTCTTCAAAGGACTGCTGAAAGAAAGAGGGAGATAGGTGATGCAATCATTTGTTACACATGGTGGTCACAAGACTTAGTGGTGCTGTATAGAGTGGGCTATGTATAGTCAACATGGTAATTGCTTACTGCTTGGCCACTTCATGTATAACCGGCTTCATTTACATCTATGATTACCATTGCGGTCATTCCTACATGGAATGTTAGCAGGTAGAGTCTTTTGGTAGAAGAGGTTCTGTACCTCAGGGGCAGGCAGGGCATCAAAGGTCCAGGGATCAGCTACCTTGCCTACACTACCAGGAGATATGACCTTAGAGATACAAGAGTGTGAGAAGGCTCAACTCCAACCAGCACACCATTGGCGATGGTTGCGTCTCCTCAAGCAGAAACAGCACCCTGGGACAAGCAGTAAAGATGATGGGAGGGAAAAGCAGGATGGCATCCAAAATTTTCTATCCATGCATGGATCCCAGTCATGCAACCCACCAGGTCCACTGCCAGGATCATTAATGGCCACCCAATAAGTAAAGAGGGAAAAAGCAAGGCCCAGAAGAAGCATAAGAAAAAATGGCAGTGGACTGAAAGATGAGAAGGACTTCAGATCTTTTGATGGTTGAGAAGGCCAAACTAGTAAATAAAATGACCACAATATGCAAGTATGCACGGCATACGGGGGTTGGGTTAGGGCTAGTGGAGATCACTATAGTAGCAGCGACTACTACCGTGATTTCCAGCTTCCAGGGGATCAGCCAGGGTTGGTATATAAATAGTAATATTGGTCCCAGCTGGACCTATGTAACTATGCAAGAACGGCCATATCGAAACCAAAGCTTTAAATACCACCAAAAGAAAGCTCTAAATGGCTAGAAAAAAATTATAACATTTATTTGGGTGGAGTGTTGCATGACTGAGTAATTGTCAGTCAAACTATCACAGCACTGAAAAATGGCTTGGATTGATAGGGGTATTATGAGCTGGTATTTAAGTGGTTAAGCTGCTCAGCACCTTATGTGCACAGTTCTATATAATATGTATGTATATTATAACAATACAAAAATATGAAAACCGATTGTGTGGAATAACGTATATAAAAAAACACCAAAACAAATGCATAGAGGTTTCTGAGTTCAGTCCTCCGACTGCATTACTGGTATCAAAAACTGCAGACCATAGAGATCTATGCACTGTCCTCCATGTACTAATGTCTATTCAGTATTGTCTATGAATTATTATCTATATATTATTACCTATGCACTATCAGCTATAAACTGTCATCCATATACTATTACCTGCATTATCATCTATGCTGTATACTTAAGCACTATTGCCTGTGCACTATCGCCTGTGAACTATCGCCTGTGCACTATCGCCTGTGCACTATCGCCTGTGAACTATCGCCTGTGAACTATCGCCTGTGAACTATCGCCTGTGAACTATCGCCTGTGCACTATCGCCTGTGCACTATCGCCTGTGCACTATCGCCTGTGCACTATCGCCTGTGCACTATCGCCTGTGAACTATCGCCTGTGCACTATCGCCTGTGAACTATCGCCTGTGCACTATCGCCTGTGAACTATCATCTGTGCACTATCGCCTGTGAACTATCATCTGTGCACTATCGCCTGTGAACTATCATCTGTGCACTATCGCCTGTGAACTATCGCCTGTGCACTATCGCCTGTGCACTATCGCCTGTGCACTATCGCCTGTGAACTATTAACCATGTTAAGTAATTTTATAACAAAAAAAAAAAGCAGAATTGTACACATATTAGATACAAATGTCAGAAATGGCCTGGGAATTAAGTAATAAACATCCTAGTTAAAGGATAAGTTCACCTTTGGAACATGTTACATGTTCCCCGTTTTTAGGATGGAACATGTTCCCATAGCCGCAGCAGAACCCGCCCCCCCCCCCCCTCTCTGACAGATAGAATGGGGAAACTTCTCCCCATATTATCTGTCAGATTTGAGAACAGCGCAGCCATGCGGGGCTTCACCCACACGGCTGCATCACTCATTCACAGATTTCAGTGAATGAGTGCCTACAAGTCACAGCAGCCTTAGCGGCTATCGGCTTGTAGCTTTCAATTTATTTTTTTTTTATTTATTTCAGGTACTTGTATAGTGTTGTCAGTTTACACGCAGCGCTTTACATATATATTGTACATTCACATCAGTCCCTAACCCTCAAGGGGTGTACAATCTAAGGTCCCTAACTCACATTCATACATACACATACTAGGGACAATTTAGACAGGAGCCAATTAACCTAACAGCATGTCTTTGGAGGGTGGGAGGAAACCGGAGTACCCGGAGGAAACCCACACAGGCACAGGGAGAACATGCAAACTCCAGGCAGGTGGTGCTGTGGTTGGGATTCGAACCAATGACCCTAGTACTGCCAGGCAGAAGGGCTAACCATTTAGCCACGGTGCTGCCCTATGAACTATCACGGTGTTGTGGAGCACTGTCGTAGTGCATTGCAGCTTCCTGTCAGAAGATCTGCTTGACTGTACATCCCATACAGCAAGCAGAAATTCTGACAGGTCTGCAGGAGACTTGCATGGCATCAGCGGTCTACTGATGGCTGGTGCAATGCTTTCCAGGCTCCTTTGGCCAAAATAATAAATGCACATTGTTTTTACCTGCAAATGCACCTACCAGTGCATTTATTAATTTTGTCCAAAAGGTGAACTTATTCTTTAACATCCACATACTATTACCCATGCAGTATTGTATATGAAGAATTATCCATGTACTATTACCCATGCAGTGTTGTATATGAAGAATTATCCATGTACCATTACCCATGCAGTATTGTATATGAAGTATTATCCATGTACTATTACCCATGCACTATTGTATATGAAGAATTATCCATGTACTATTACCCATGCACTATTGTATATGAAGTATTAACCATGTCTATTACCCATGCAGTATTGTATATGAACCATTCTCCTATCATCTATGAATGAATCCCCATATGCTATTACCTATGCACTAACAATCTGATGTGCAGGTTTTGTGCATTCAGTGATATTTGTATTCCAATAGTAGTAATGAGTAATCATGAGAGGGGAACACCGGGCACACAGAGGGAACACCGGGCACACAGATGGGAACACCGGGCACACAGAGAGGAACACCGGGCACACAGATGGGAACACCGGGCACACAGATGGGAACACCGGGCACACAGATGGGAACACCGGCACACAGAGAGGAACACCGGGCACACACAGAGGGGAACACCGGGCACACAGAGGGGAACACCAGGCACACAGATGGGAACACCAGGCACACAGATGGGAACACCGGGCACACAGATGGGAACACCGGGCACACAGATGGGAACACCGGGCACACAGAGAGGAACACCAGGCACACAGAGAGGAACACCGGGCACACAGAGGGGGAACACCGGGCACACACAGGGGGGAACACCGGGCACACACAGGGGGGAACACCGGGCACACACAGGGGGGAACACCGGGCACACAGGGGGAACACCGGGCACACACAGAGGGGAACACCGGGCACACAGAGGGGAACACCGGGCACACAGAGGGGAACACCGGGCACACACAGAGGGGAACACCGGGCACACAGAGGGGAACACCGGGCACACAGAGAGGAACACCGGGCACACAGAGAGGAACACCAGGCACACAGATAGGAACACCAGGCACACACAGGGGGGAACACCGGGCACACAGGGGGGGAACACCGGGCACAGAGGGAGTGCACAGTCCAGGCGTTCCCTATAGATCTATACAGAGATATACACAATACAGGGAGGTCACTGCATGATCTCATACACCAGGCAGCACCCCATTACCCCCCTATACTCACTCCTCTTCCTGCAGACTTGCCCGGACTTTGTACTGAACCTTAGCATGAGATTCTGTATCCCGTGAAAAGCTGCACAACCCCCTGTGGCTTCTGAGCATGTGCAGACCTACAAAGGAGCCATCAGGGGGAATAGCCGAGCGCCGAGCTCCAGCCTGAAGGGACTGTGAAAGCATTTAACACCATAAATCCTGGGCAGCCTTGGAGTCACAGGGAGTGCAGGATATCATTGGGGGGGGGGGGGGAGTGGGGTGCACAAGAGCAGTGTAGTGAACAGGGGGACAGTGGGGTACACACAGGGGTTGTGGAATGTACAGGGGGTAGTCAGGTGCACAGGGGTGTAGCATGGTTATCAGGGGGCAGTAGATTGTACTGGGGGCAGGAGGATGCACAGGGGTGTATAAGGGTGGACATGGGACAGGGGGGTGCACAAGAGAGCAGTGTAGTGAACTGGGGGGACAGTGGGGTACACAGAGGGGTAGTGGAGTGGACAGGGGGGTAGTGGTGGTCAGTGGTGATGAATGCCTGTCTCCTGATGTCCTATTCTGGGTGTGTGCAGAGTAGGGATACACCAATATATTGGCTTCGGAAAATGGAGCTATCGGCTTTTTGCAGATAGGAAAAAAGGCTCATATAATGGCCGCAGAAAAACGTGCAATTTTGACGCGATTTTACCACGTTTAGGGTGTGTTTTTCATAGGTCATGTGACAAAAAAAGACATCAAAATTCAACATGTGTGCATTTTTTATGCGGTTTCAATTTATTTTAACAGGAAGGTTTTTTTTTTTAAACTGACCAAATGTGCACCAAAAATGCAGCAAGCAGGATTTTTAACACTGCACGGGAAGCACAACAGACTAGTGGGAAGTTAAAGGGATGCATTTTGTTACGCTTTTTTTTTTTTTTTAAATGTAAAAGTGCTTCAAAAACTGCTCAGTGTGAAAGCAGCCTATTGGCCGAAAAGGTGCTGAAAATAAATTCATATTCTTTCAAAATTCATGATATTAATTAAAAAGTCAAATATAATAAAATTATATATGAAAAAAAATATACTTTGAAAAAAACTATCAGTTTCAGTTTTGGCCAAAAACGTCCGGAATTTTCAGTTTTGGTTTCAGTCTAGAATTTTAATTTCGGTTCAC